CCCATTGAGCATCTCTGGAGAGACCTGAAAATGGCTGTCCACCAAGGTTTACCATCCAACCTGACAGAACTGGAGAGGATCTGCAAGGAGGAATGGCAGAGGATCCCCAAATGCAGGTGTGAAAAACTTGTTGCATCATTCCTAAAAAGACTCATGGCTGTATTAGCTCAAAAGGGTGCTTCTACTAAATACTGAGCAAAGGGTCTGAATACTTATGACCATGTGATATTTCAGTTTTTCTTTTTTAATAAATCTGCAAAAATGTCAAATTCTGTGTTTTTCTGTCAATATGGGGTGCTGTGTGTACATTAATGAGGAAAAAATTGAACTTAAATGATTTTAGCATATGGCTGCAATATAACAAAGAGTGAAAAATTTAAGGTGGTCTGAATACTTTCCGTACCCACTGTATATATGCTTATGCTTACACTCAAGATGTTAAATATAATTAACTACATATAAATGATCAGCTCAGCATTTCCTGTGTAAGTAAAATGTTATGCTTTGAAGAAAAATGGAAGTAAAGATGTCAAATAAATATAGTGCAGGAAAAGGTTTGTTGCAGTCTAACGTGAATGTGTATAGCTACATTCCACATTAAATTAGTTACTTTTCAAAAAAACAAGGTATGTTGTTAAAGGACACAAGGAGAGTGGATATTGGAGGCTTAAGTCCAATCAGGTGACAGAAGTGCACCACTGCCACTGAGTTCTTTATAGTTACCCTTAGTGGGTTTAGCGGAGGTTTTTGTCTTCTCTGTGACCATATTTTATTACTACCTCATTTAGTTGTGCTTGGAATAATAAAATGATTTGGTAAGATCAACATGTGAGGTGATCTTTTCTTTTTTAGATAGGAAATCTTCCTAGACTTAAAAAGACAAACCTGTTCCTTGATTTCATGTCATTTTAGAATATTCCAGTCCACAGCACTGGACAACAACTACAGTGTGTACTACTTAATATTAATGCTGGAGAATTTCAGTAAACTAAAACCTGATCCCTGCTATGCATGAAAGACTCTGTCATGATACGTATCTATTATGTAAGGACAGTAGAGATGGTGTTTTTTATTTATGGGAGTGATCCTCTGAAAAAGGATATGCCACAGACAGGGAGGTCTTCAGTATGACAGCAGTCCTGCTTTGAGGGGACACACACCCGACTGTCTTGGATCACACGTGCACAGACAAACAAACACAGTCTTCTATTAAAGCAGAGGGTCGATAGCTACGATACCTTATGTTTTTCATAATCCCTGTAGAATTACTGTAATTGAAGGCATCTGTATCTGGACTTATAATCAATGCCATCATTTGCTTTTCTGTGCTAGTATCTTTTTTTTTCCAGAAAATCTTTAGAAACAGAGTTTGACTAAGATAATGAGATGGTATTTATGCAAATGTTTGGCACCATTAAGGCCCCTATGTCTACCATCTAAAAACCTGTAAATGAATCTCTTGAATCTTCAGTTTTCAGTCCATGTTCAAATGCCTTTGTAAATCAATTTAAAAATGTGAAAAACCTTCCAAAAACTGATAGAATGATTGTTTTCTGGAGCATGGATGGAGAAACTACCGGTGCAGTACATGGCCTGTGTGGGTGTTGATCCTTGTGAGAAGAGAGAATGCAGGCGGTTTTATATCCAATGTTCTGCCCTGCCCAAGCAAAAAAAAAAAAAAAAAAAAAAAAAAAAAAAGTTTACTTTTGCTGCCCCTTTTTTTGTTGCTGCTCCTAAAGATGCTAGTAAGGATAATTCTTTGGACTAAGGAATGCCAGACATTTACATAAACATATTTCAAATTCTCAGACTAATCCAAGACACACACAAACAATGTGGTGAACTTGTTATTTTTCTCAAGGTGGCAACGTAAAGGTCATTGTTAAGGTCATTTGATTAAGAAACAAGGAAAACCCCAAATAATCCTCACTAATACCTGTTCACAGCTCAGACTGGCAGCCTTTTATACGCTAATACATTTTAAATGGGACCATAATAAATAATTATGACAAGGAAATGATTCTGCCAAGCCAATTAACCTGTGACCTGTGCAGCAATATTTGATGCGCCGCTGCCTTCCTTCCATCACAGAAGTTTTGCAGTCACTTTGGGGGTCAAGCTAATCACAAGTTCTTTAATTAGCTCATTAATTGCAATGTAAATTTTAGATGGAGTGTTTGTACATTGTACCATGATATAATCTCCACATTTCTACTGTTCTAGTGTTCATTACCAGGAAGTTATGAGTAGGTTTCTGCTACAGATTATGATGAATTTCTTAAGTAGGGTGTGGTTTGGGCCATCGCCTCTGGAGCTAGCATGTGTGACTACAACATAGGAATCTGAGTGAGCTTCCAAACTCAGTGCAAACTTATAAAGGGGAGACTTAAGAGACCCATTAGAATAAATGCTGCACAAGGCATCTACCAGCATCATGCGCATCCAAGTGTAGTACTCATACCATACTACAGCTGGGAATCCTTGTAGGAGGGAACCCAAGAAAAACAATGCTTTAAGTTTGCTTTTGAGTTATATGAAAATGACACCAGGCTACTGACACAGGCTGGTTGGGTTACAACTCAATATTCTTCCTGTTTATGTGGGACCAGGGCTTATTATTGTGTCATTGCTTTCCATCTTTTTTTTTTGGTCAATTTTTTTTTCTGCAGCATTGCTCCATGATTTATTTGCAAAATCCTTTATGATGCAAACACCAAACACTACCTTTTTGCCTTAATTATAGTATGAGACAGGAAAAATATGATTGAAATAGCACTGGCATTAGGCATCACCAAACTATTTCTTTTAAATAATAATTTAATTAATAGTTTGTTTCTATTGTTGGACTAAAAACACACCATCTGCCTTTGGCTACAGACTCGTAGCGCTATGTTCACTTCTTCCCACCATCCAGCATATTTCCATTTGTTAGGCTGTTGATATCATGCTTCAGCTAGGCCTCCTGCACTTTGCACTACTGCACATACATAAACCAAAATAGCGGTGCTCTTGAAGATGCCCACACAGTCTATGTGCCCAGTACCAGTGGGGCCCATATCTGCAATATACTGATTTTAATGTTACTAGTACAATAGACACCATGAAGATTAATAGCATATTGTTTAACCTTTTAATTTTGGCATATGATTTTGATTTAGTCTTAGTGTTTTTATCTGTGCAGTCAGGTTTCTGCCCTGCTCTTTAAAGGGGATGAGAGGAGCTGGTTTGACTGGACATAACTAAAGCCAGTCCTGACTCCACCCGCTCACCATGTACTCCGCCTCGCCTCCACAACGCGCCTGGTAACGTCTGATGCTTCACAAAACTGTGCTTTGTCTGTGGTCGCCAAAGTTGCAAAACATTGTTGAACACGCCCACATGTCCCTTGGAGACACGGGTTTAGCGCTGCACCCTATTTCAGGATAATAGAGCCCTACAGGTTAAGTCATCACAGAAGTAATGAGCTGCCCATGTTTTCCTTGTTGTCTTAGTTGCTTTCTTCATCTTATTTCATTTTCAGTAGTTGTAGATGAGTTTAGTTCAGACATTTTCCAAAGACATTTTCTCATTAAGCGTAACAGGTTAGATGGTTAAATCAGCATTTGAACAAGAGGTAGTTTACAGTAGGTGGTGGAGCAGAATGCTCAACTTTTTGCTTATCAAGAGCTATACTTGGACTTTTAGACTTAGATGCCGTAACAGATTGAGAAAGATGGTATTGCCTCATGTCCATGCAGCTGTCTTTGGTTTTTATTTGTTGAGTAAAAATGTAATACTTTTTTTCATAGCTTCTGTTTTAAAATGATGCTTTTTATTCCATTGTGGTCATGTTTTCATTGTGAAAAATATGTTGTCAACAAATAGTTCTCCTTGAAGATTTCATTAAGAAAATTAACACTTGATGCCTCAGTAGGCAAAGACAAGAGTTCCATTCAAATCTCAACAGAAAATCCAAGGAAGAACATGTATCATTTAATTTAACAAATTACTGCTCTGTGTGTGTGTGTGTGTGTGTGTGTGTGTGTGAGAAGAGCAATGATTTAGACTTTTCTCCACAGTTCTTTCACTCTATTATACAATTGAACAAAGGTGAGACAATGCCAGTGGTTTAGATTTCCACTGGGAGAGCAGACAGAGCGAGACTAATTCCACAGAAGCACAATAAAGATTTATTCAGAGCAATTATGTTTTTAGTTATAAGTAAAAGGAACAATGGTCAAAAGAAATGCAAAATCACAGTGTCCCGTGAAATTGAATTCAGCAGGCTCACAGTAATGTCGGTCATCACTGTAATCTAATAATTCAAAGACACAAAATTCATCTCCATTTGTTTATGTCTCCCGGGGATCAGGATTAAAAGAGCCAGCGAAACTTTACATTCATGGACCAGGCTGAAATCTCACTGGAGAGGAAAGGAGGACAGGCTGGTGAGCTGCTGGTCTTCTTATAAGATAACAGATAATGAAGATGTCACTCAGCAGCTAGGAAAAGTAGGAAATGTACGACATGATACATGAATAACATGTTTTCCTGTTACCCTTGTTAATTCTGTGCCTAAAACAAAATCTTCTGAATTCCTAGCCATAAATGTTTCTTTACGAGAAAGCGATCATTTTTCTTGATCTTAAACTAACATTACATTTTTGTAAAACAAAGTACATGAGTTTTACTAGAAAACAATGTCAAATTGATATTTTAAAGTTAAATACAGCTACACTGACAAAGTCTCTGCTTATAAATATCTTGGCTTTTGGCTATATGACCAGCTGAGTTGCTGGAGTGCAGTGCCCCTATATTTCTGTGTGTCCTCCTGTTAAATAAAGCCACTGGAAATCACCTGGCTCAGCTGTATTGTATGGTAGTATGGTGGGAATCACCAGGTCTGCACCACCTGAGACCTTTGAGAGACCCAAGTTGCCCCCGATGGTTAGAACAATGATCGGTGTGAGCTGGTGCCGCAGATGGCTTCCTCGGTTCTGTACCGGAAACAAATTCTTTGTGTGCGTAACATACTTGGCCAAATAAAGGTGATTCCTTATTATCCTTTTGTTTCATCTGAGCATTATGACGTTTAAACTTGACATGAGGCAGTGTGAGGTTTTGGTTCATTATAACACCAAACTTCTAAAACACTTATTTTCTGCTGCATTTTACCAGATATATTGAAGCCAAGTAAAACTTTCTGCAAAAACATACTGTGTTACTGACATTCTCTGTATTTTAAAACAATGGCTAGTTCCACTTTACAGTGAATTCTCATGACCATGTGTAGCTTTATAAATCACCATATTGAAAATGTATTATAGCTATTTCACTGGTGCTGCCATATTGTGTCTTGGATATATATTAGCTGTTCACCTAAAAACATACCCAGAAATGAATATGCGAGTCTATAGCTCTGTTAAATGAGAAGGAAAAGGCGAAACAAACTTCTCACTATACATTTTTGCTGCTGCCGCTTATTAAATGTCACATGTAATGTTTATGGTACTTGAAGAGGAGAGAAATTACACATCATCCTGAAGTGAGTCACCAGGTGGCACAATGCACAACATTTTTATTCATTCATCACATTTTCCAGGAGGGCAGTACAAGGAGACTAAATAATAAATAAATAAATAAATAAATAAAGCCCCTCCTTGAACCGCCACCCTATTGTGGTGGAGGGGTTTGAGTACCCGAGTGATCCTAGGAGCTATGTTGTCGGGGGCTATATGTCCCTGGTAGGGTATCCCAAGGCAAACAGATCCTGGGTGACGGGTCAGACTAAGAGCAGTTCAAAAGCCCTTTATGAATAGATTAAAATCAAGGACCATGACGTCGCCTGGCATGGCGCAGCCGGGGCCCCACCCTGGAGCCAGGCCCAGGGTTGGGGCTCGAATGCGAGCGCCTGGTGGCCGGGCCTCCCCTCACGAGGCCCGGCCAGGCTTAGCCCGAACGAGTGACGTGGGGACGTTCTCCTGTGGGCCCACCACCTGCAGGAGGATCCGTAAAGGGCCGGTGCACAGTGGATTGGGCAGCAGT